AAGAAGACTCACCCCGACATGTCACGACGTCGGGAAATGTTATTGTTGAGGCGGATTCCCCTTTAGCCCCCGAACTTACTGCGGAGGCACTCCCTGTGAAAGTGAAAATCCTGCAAATCGGCATGTATGACGGGACATCAGATCCAGACGCTCATTTAGGCCATTATACGTCTTGGATGGATTTACATGGGGCTTCAGATGCTTTGAGGTGTCAGATGTTCTCACTTACACTGGGCCACGAGCCCAAAAATGGTATTATACTCTCCCACCTCATTCAATTTGGAAATGGCAGCAGTTACGTGCAGCTTTCCAGTCACACTTTATCGGTGCTCAAATTTGTCTCATCCCGAAAGAATCGATCACCAATATTGTGAAAAAAGACGACGAGACTGTTAAAGACTACGTGGCTCGGTTCAACGACCGAATTTAGAACATGGAACCCTGTCATCCTGAAACTTTTTTAGTAACTGCTATTGCTGGACTGAAGCCCAATTCAATGTTTCGTTGGACCTTGTGTCAAAATAAGCCTGCTACGTTTCAAGACTTTCTTGTACGAGCTCAACAATTCATTATTGCCGAAGAATCTATGTCGGTTCCCAGTTTCGACTTCTCGGTGAAGGAAAATAAGGCTGAACCAGATGCTAAGAAGAAGAACAAGAAGAACTTTGGGAAAGCACAATTTCGGAATTTCCCTAAAGGATATGAAAACACTCCAGACGGGCTGCTCGTGATCAATATTCAGATAACGTCAGGACAGGTTATCACGCCGTTTACTCCGCCGGAGCAGCTACCATATATGAAGAACTGAAAGGAAAGGGAATTATCCCAGACCCGAGGCCTGTGAGAACTCCTGAAAATAAGTTGGATAAAACTCGGTACTGCGCATACCATAAGTCTCCAGGACACAATACCAACGAGTGTCTTGGTCTTTTGTCGGCACTCTTACGTTTAATCGGACAACCCCAGCTTCAAAAGTTTCGAAATTTCGATAACCGCCGGAAAGGAAGACCCTTGGATCTTTCAGACGATGAAGATGAGGATAACCGACCTGTTAACCAGAAAAGAGCTCGTGCAAACGATAAGGAAGTTTTTATGTTTTCCACTCATGTCGGAACCTCGACAGATAACCACAGGAAACCTAAGATGCATGATCCCGCAGATTCTTCACATTGTATACCTCGAATCAACTCCAATAACAAACAGTTAGATACGTCTCGACGCAAAATTAAAGCCTATGCCCGGGAGGCACAGAATGCCGAGAAACGAGTCATGACTGTTGATCTCCGAGATACCATCAACAAACAGAATTGTCCTATCACGTTTAGTATTGAAGACGCTAATTTGTTCGCTCATCCTCATTCCGATGCTCTTATCATAACCGCCCCGATTGGAGGGATTCCTGTTCATCGGATCTTGGTCGACACAGGGGCTTACTCAAGCATTTTGATGCTCCGCACATTCAAGAAATTGGGTTTGGACCCAGCAGACATTAGGCCATGTAACGATCAAATTCAAGGTTTTAATGGAAGCATTTCTTGCCCTGTTGGCGAAATATTGCTCCCTATTCGGTTTGGTGGCTTTGGGCCGAAGTCCAAGATCATTATGGAAACTTTCAAAGTCTTGGATGTCCAAAATGAATATAATGCTGTAATAGGGCGAACCGCACTTTATAAACTTCGTGCAGTTGTGTCGATTTTTCATTATGCTCTGAAGTTCCCCACCATTGAAGGGGAAGGCACTCATTACGGAGATCAACGAGAAGCCCGAAGTCTGATGCTGCTCTCAACCTCGCCTAATTTTTATATGATTGAAGAACGAGATGCTAATAACTTCGTTGAGCCGAGTGATTCAATTCTTGATGCTGAAAGAACTGATCAGTCCATCCCGGATACCGACATGCCTCAAGCAGATACCGACTTGCCGCTTGTCGATACCGATGTCCCTATGACGTCGGTCCTCCCTGAAACATCAACTAAAATCCTCGATCAAGAACAACCTTTTCATGAAAGAGACATAGAAATGTACGAAGATATGGACCCAAGGATGCAATTCAAAGATGGAAGTCATCACGTCCGGGCGGAACCCGTTGAAGATATCGAAATCATTTATGTGGATGGGTCGGCTCAACGAAAATCGCTGCGTCTTGTGGCCAACCTGCAAGAACCCATTCGGTCAAATTTGATTCAGTTTCTCCAGTCAAACGCTGATGTGTTCGCTTGGAAGCATGAAGACATGAAAGGGATTGACCCACAGAAAGCATGCCATCGTCTCAATTTGGACAAAACTGTCAAACCCGTTATTCAGAAACGCCGGAAATTCGGCCCAGATCACCAAAAGGCCCTTGAAGAGGAAGTAAACAAGCTCATAGATAATAAATTTGTTAAAGAAGCCAAATACCCGACGTGGATATCAAACCCTGTTTTGGTTAAGAAAGCCACCGGCCTTTGGCGTCTGTGTATAGATTTTTCAGACTTGAATCAAGCATGCCCGAAAGATAGCTACCCCATTCCACACATTGATTACATGGTAGATGCTACGTCGGGACACCAACTTATGAGTTTTATGGATGCCTATTCAGGCTATAATCAGATTCCCATGCATCCTGATGACGCTGAACATACCTCGTTCTATTCAGCTCGAGGCCTCTACTGCTATGTCATGATGACTTTCGGATTGAAGAATGCAGGGGCCACGTATCAGAGGTTGGTCAATAAGATGTTTGCTCGTTTAATCGGCCATACAATGGAAGTTTATGTAGACGACATGTTGGTGAAGTCGGAACAGGCCTCTGACCATATCACCCATCTCTCCGAAGTCTTCGATATACTCCGAGAATATTCCATGGTGCTTAACCCCAAGAAGTGCACTTTCGGAGTTGGATCAGGGAAGTTTCTAGGATACATGGTAAGTCAGAGAGGGATCGAAGCCAATCCCGCCAAGATTCAAGCCATACTTGATCTAGCTCCCCCGACATCTCTCAAAGGTGTCCAAGCTTTAACTGGTCGACTGGCAGCCCTTAATCGGTTCATTTCAAAATCTGCGGATCATTGCAAGCCATTCTTTGATGCTATCAAAAAGAAGAAACCGTTTGAATGGACCACGGAATGCCAGAATGCTTTTGATAACATTAAAGAAGTTCTTTTACGATTACCGACGTTACAGAAGCCACTTCCCGATGAACCTCTCTATTTGTACCTTGGTGTAAGTGACGTTGCTGTTAGTGCTGTTCTCATACGACAAGATGGACTTCAACAGTTTCCGGTGTATTATGTTAGCAAGGCTTTACATGACGCTGAATTGCGATATCCGCATATGGAGAAGTTGGCCTATGCTCTGATAATTGCTGCACGGAAGTTGCGCCCATATTTTTTGGAGCATTCAATTGTTGTGTTTACGACATATCCTCTCCGACAAGTCCTTCAACGACCTGACACGTCGGGAAGAATGATTAAATGGGAAATTGAGTTGGGACAATTCGATATTCAGTACCGACCACGAACCGCTATCAAAGCTCAAGTACTGTCTGATATTATCGCTGAATTTACTCCTACTGTCAACACACCCATTGAAGATCCGACATGGACTCTCTATATTGACGGATCGTCCACTGCTATACGAGCTGGGGGAGGGATTGTCTTAGTTAGTCCTGATCAGCAAGTGTTTTGTTACTCTGTTGCATTTACCTTCCCGGCCACCAACAACGAAGCCGAATACGAAGCCCTCTTATCAGGTTTACACTTTGCCGAATCCATGAATGTTTCCTCTCTCTGGATATTTTCCGACTCTCAGTTGCTAGTCAGCCATATCAATGGTACTTACGAAGTCAAAGAACCACTATTGTTGTCTTTTTTTGATCTCGTCAAAAAGAAGCTGACCCGATTTAAAGTGACGTTGGAGCATATACCACGGTCATCCAATATTCAAGCAGATGCTCTTTCACGATTAGCCTCATCAACCGACCTGAATAATGTTGAGTTCGTGCAAATCACCCAACAGGTGACCTCGTCAACAGTCTCTACCGATGTTGTTATGGTTGACGCTGTCCCATTAACTTCAAATCCTACATGGATGGATCCGATCATTAACTATCTTCAAACCGGGGCCTTACCTGAAGACCCGAAAGAAGCTCGTGCCCTTCGTGTTCGTGCTGCTCATTACACCATTGATCAAGGGACGTTATATAAACGTGGGTATTCTACCCCATTGCTCAAATGTTTGTCAGAGGTTGACGCTCAACGAATCCTGCAAGAAGTACACGAAGGAGTCTGTGGTACTCATCAGGGAGCTCAAACTTTGTCTCACAAAATTCTCCGACAAGGCTACTACTGGCCTACCATTAGGAAAGATGCTACGAATTGGGTCCGACGGTGCCACAAGTGCCAAATATTTGCTCCTAAGGTTAACCAACATCCTGAACTCCTTAAGTCAATATATAGTCCATGGCCGTTTGCAAAATGGGGAATTGATTTGATCGGCCCACTTCCAACAGCAAAAGGGGGAGTTCGGTTTGCTATTTTAGCCGCCGATTATTTCACCAAGTGGGTTGAAGCTGAGCCCCTTGTAACCATTACGGAGCAAAAAATGGTGAATTTTGTATGGAAATCAATCGTTTGTCGGTTTGGAATTCCGAACTCCATTATAATCGACAACGGTCGTCAGTTTGAAGGCAAGCGATTTGAAAGTTTTTGTGAAGACTACGGCATCAAGCATTTCTTTTTGTCACCTTATCACCCACAAGCTAATGGACAGATAGAAGCTGTAAACAAGATTATCAAGAATGGCCTGAAAACTCGACTTGAAGCTGCAAAAGGATCATGGCCTGATGAATTGCCTTATGTCCTCTGGTCTTATCGGACGACGACGAGAAATTCAACTGGAGAAACTCAGTTTTCGTTAGCTTACGGAACTGAAGCCGTGATACCGGTTGAACTTGCCTCTCCGAAATATCGGATCACTCACTTCTCCGAAGAAACCAACCCAGCAAACTTGAAAGCCAGTCTCGATTTGGTTGATGAATTACGGGCTGACGCCGAAGTCCGCAATGCCGCTTATAAACGACGTAGTGAAAAATACATAAACTCAAGACTCAAGCCACGCTCATTTATCAAAGGAGACCTTGTTCTGAAAAGAGTCACTGGCGCCAATGTCGGCCCGTTACAACCGAAGTGGGAAGGACCCTTTAAAGTAAATCGTCTGATCTCTAATGGCATCTACCGACTTGAGACGTTAGGCGGTGTTCCCCTTCAATATCCCTGGCACACGACGTATCTGAAGAAATACTACCAGTAAACCTGATGGCCAAGATTTTGTCCTTGACATGTAGAAAAGTTTTTGTCCTACTTCTGTACAAGAACCATGTTTTGCTGTCAATAAAGTTTGTGTGACGAACCCCAGTAATTTGTTCGATCACTCGGACCACAATAAATCGGTCCTCGTTGCTAAGGCTGAACGTGTTTCATACCCTGAAGATGGTATGACCTGGCCAAACGCAGCGAAGCCGGATACTTCCAAGCCCTGAAGATGGTTTGGGGAGGCTTATGCTCTATAATATCAAATCCCGACGTTGATTTGGTGAGCTTGCAATAAGTGTTTGCAGTAAAAAGCAAGTCTTTTATGACTTGTTCTAATAAGGATTTTGCGGATGTCGGACGAACTATAAATTATGCCGACACCGAAAATTTAACCAAAAATCTGATATCAAATCCTGACGTTGATTTGATCAACTAACGATAAAATTCTTAAGTTCTTTGGGATATTCAAAGACTTACACAATAAATGTTTTCAACAAAAGCAAGTTTGCTATAACTTGTTCTGATAAGGTTATTGATGTCGGATATACTCTTAGATTACACCGATGTCAGTAATTCATATAGATTATCACTAATGTTATGTCGGAAACTTTAATCTGATGAATGCTTATTCACTTTTTCCGACATACTCTGACTTGTTACAATAATAAGTCACGATAGAGCATTCACAAAAATATTTCATTCATCAAACATTAATATTTCATTCCAAGATTAAATATTGTCAGTACATTCCCAGAAAAAGACGAACAAACGACAAAACAAGTTAAAAACATTAATTTTTTTTGGTCCCTGATGATGACGCCCCACCTACGTTGGAGAGTTGAGGATTCTCGGTCTCAGCCTTGTCCTTGTCAACAGCGTCCATATCCTCAATCAACCTTTGGCCTAAGCGCTGAATGACGTCCTCTTCTTTCTCTTCCAATGCTCGGACGACATCGCTTTCTTTAATTATGACGACATCGTCATCTTCATGCAAAACACGATCGTCGTCAGAAGGGACTGGGTCAGTCACCCAACCTTTAGCTTTGGCATCATCTTCCGCCACTTTGCGTGCCGCATAACCGATAATCGCGCCCAAAAGCTCCTCATCAGACAGGCCCTCGAATGTTTCATTGACAAAGGCCTCAGCGATCGTCTCCACACATATGTTAGCCATTTCAGGCTTCTTGGCCTTCTCTACTTCGAGGACCATATCGATAAATGACCGGCGGATCTTTGCCTTGCGCTCCTCCGACAAGGGTATCATGTCCAGCTCCAACATCCGACTTTCTTTCTGCTTCAGAAGTCGGTCCGCAAAGTCTCTTTCATCTTGGTCGGCCGGAATGTGGGCATTCTTCATCTCGGGATTGAAGCCATGCTTCTCCATCTTATGAAGAAGGAAAATACGCAGCTCATCCATGGTATATACGCTGCTTTCTACCCTGTCAATCACCCAACGCAAAGCTAAGGCCTCGTTCAATTCCAGCTCCCACTCTTTCACTGCATTGGCATTAGATGTGTTGTCGGACTCGGTCACCGACTTCTTGCCGACTTCGATACCCTCCTGGAATTTGAGCTCGGCGGCGGCAGCCATTTCTTGATGGAGCTTATTCATGGCCACTTCATGAGCCTCACGACTTCGGATCAGCTCGGCATCCTTGTCAGATAGATCCTTCCGCACAGCCTGGAGCTCCATCCTCAACTTTGTGAGCTGCTCATCTTTTTCTTTGGCCACCTCAGTAACTTTGGCCAACTGAACCGACAAGAGGTCATGGGCCAACATAAGGTTCTCTCTCTCAGTTTTAAGTGTGCCCACCTCGGTTTGTGCTGCCTGCAACTGGGCATCTTTCTCCGACATCAGCATTTCATAACGAGATTTTTCGTCCTCTAAGGAAGCAATTGCACCTTCTTTCAAACTTAGCTCGTGCTGCTTCTCATCGAGCTCGTGAACTCGCCCCCGATAACTTTCTTTGGCCGCTATGAAGCTGACAAGTGCCCGTCCCAAGCAGCCTCGGGCATAACTGAATTTCTGATCGTCGGGCAGGGACGCGATCCCGGCATGGGTCTTTGGGTCCCAAGACATCAAATGAACCTTTGCTGCCTTAACCGCTTCAGCAGGGACCCGATGATTAATTGTAACTTTTGGTTCGGCGACTGTCTGGAACATCGCGAACCAAGGGTCAAACACCCCTTCCGGCAACGTTAGCTCCGCTGCTCTCTTCTCATTAATCTTAAGGAACGAGTCCCTCAAGATAATTTCAGGCTCTTCCTCCTCCTTTTCCTTGCCAGAACCAGTGTTTTGTTTCTTCTTCATTCTTTCAGCTACATGCGACACACTAGATCTTTTGCACCGCTGCACCACGTTAAGAAGCGGCTCTTCCGACACCTCCCTCGTGATATCGGTCTCCACGCTAGGCTCCTCCACCGACGTCATTACTTGTTGGAGCGGGGCAACTTCTAGTGGTGGGACCTCGGTAACCGCCACCTCATTAACGACCGCCGGTGTCGGTACCGCCGGTGTTGGCTCCACTCTTGTGGATGATGGCTCGCCAACAGTACTCTGGGAACGGTTCGGGTTCTTCTTCCATGATTTCAGAAGGTTCATGCGTCCTGCCATTTCGGTTGATCGGAGATTTTTATTTTTCCCGACTTTGTTCTTTAAGTCTAAATTCGGATTACGTCTCCGATGCTCTTCTGCTTCTGCGGGATCTCCGAAACCGAAGTATCCCAGCAATGAATAATAGACTGTTACAGCAAACTCAAAGTTAGACCAATTTCGTTAACACGAATAAATGTTATGAGATACACCAAGTCGCGAAGAAGATTACCTGGTAAAAATGAAGAATCAAGTACTCCGGGAGACAATCC